CCTTTTTTTTTCCTTTTTCCTAATCATTTTCTTGTGAACGGTGACATTTCATTTTAGTTTTCTCAATGTTGTCTGATTTCATTTGCCAATTTTTATCTCTGACAATAAACTCCATAGGATAAACTTTCATTTGGAGAAGAAAAAAGAAACCCCACAAAAATTAAATAAAAGAAAATAATATTAAATTATATATTCCACCAAACTTCAAGATCCGTTTTTTATGTTTCAACATTTTTTCATTGATAATTTTAATCAATAAAGATTTGAACTTTTTAGCAATTCAATTCTGCACATATGGTAAATTTTTGAATTTTCGGAAAAAAAAATTATTAGAAAAATAAAATAAAATAAACTTCTGTATTGATCCAACACCCCAAGGAAAAACTAAGTCCAACAACTAAAGTTTATTGGTATGAAGTTTGTAATTCTTGATTCAAATTAATGTTTGAAGGATCTTACATTTCGATATTTTAATTGCAGGCAATAGTTAATTAGCAGAAAATATCGTGATCTCCAAAATGGTAATGGAGCGTTATTACGATACTCACGATGTTCTACACGACGTGAAAAGTATGATGGCAAATAGCAAACAGTTGGATGAATTGAGAAGAGTTGTGGAAGGAAATAACGTCGACCCCAATTACCAACTTTTTCTGCTCTCCGCTTTGAGAAGCGCAAATTCTCACAAACACCAAAAAGAAATTGAAAGGGAAAATTTCGTTTCTGTAGACGATGATTCTGATAGTCGAACCGAATCTGATACTGAAACCGATTCTCAACAAAAGAAATTCTTGAATGGATTGAAAGAACATAAAAAAACTTACGCCTTCGACACTGAGATTGATGGCTCCCATGTTTTCATCGAATATGATACGGACAGTGAAACTCATTCTGATGACAGCAAATCGGAATACGAAAGTCGAAGAAGGATGAATCATGGTGGATTCGAAATCCAAGATCAACCGGCTAAAGACAGTAGTACTATGAAGAGTAGTCCTAGGTTATCGCGTGTGAGCAGGGGAGAAACTGTGTTTCCGGCTTATAAGCCTTCTGGTTATCTGAAGGTAAAAGGGTCAACAAAGAGTCAACATGGCCACGATGTGAAAGTGCAATCGGGTGGAAAGATGGGTATAGAAAGGCGTAGATTAACAGGAACTAGGCCCGATCTTTTGTCTGAGAATTCTCGTACGAGGGTGAACAAGATTCATCGCGAGTTCACTAAACAAGTTAAGGAGGAAAAAGTTTGTAGCCAGTTAAAATCGAAGGTAGACAAAGGGCATTTCAGTCCAAGTCGTAAAGTTGATCGAGATCCGAAGTACGAGGCTTACCAAAGAAGACAAGAGAAATTTGTCGGTGGTAAGAATGTGATGGATGAAAATCAGTGCATGCATTCTTATCATGCTCGGATTGGTGAGAGAAAAGAGGTACAACAAAATAGGAAAAAATGTGACGTGGCAGATAATAACATGTGGGACCGTGCCGCCGATCAAGGATTGGTCAAGGGAAAGAATGTGATTAGGGAAGATTGTGGGGCCCGCGTTGAAACTTCAGCTCATATAGAAAATGGGAATTTATGTCAGAAGCGTAGTCCGAGGAATAATCTTCATATGAAAGAAAATCATTGCAAGCATGTTGATAGGAAACTAAAGGGGAAAAGTGTGGTTCAAGAATTCGATGACAACTTATATCATAGTCTTGGTCCGAAGAATGACTATGAAGATTGTAATAAAGTTCAACCATGTAAGAGAAAAAACGAGGCGCATGGACACAAAAGATTGATAAAAGTCGAACGTTCTAGTCCCAAGACTGAAAAAACTCCGCTCGAACATCGTAATAATAACGTGAAAGCTCGACCGGTTATGGTGAAGGGAATCGGTACCAAAATCAAGAATGTTGAGTTTGATGAACGCCTAGTGGGGTGTAAGAGAAAGAAGAGAGAGAAAGTTTTGGTGGAAGAATTCGAGGATGTTGAAATCCTAAACGGTGATGCACATCTCGAGAAAGGAATCATGGGCTCCTTTGTTCGTTCAAAGAAATTTCATAAAAGTGTACGTTAGTTATGAAATAGTTTCTTTAAAAATCTTATTGCAAAAAGTTGGTAATAATAATTGATACTTATTTATTACAATGGTCTTACTTATGCAGATGAGGGAAGACGGCTCGCAGGATATTAGCGATCCGAGTGGTTTTAGAGCACGTGTCTTAAGTGTTCTCAAGAAACCGTTTGATAAAGCGGAGTACGTTAGGCATCAAAAGGCAATTGAAGTTGGATGCTATTTTGATTATTATCCCGGTTAGTTAGTTCTCACATTTTCGCGCGAAAAAAAAATAAAATCGATTGTTATTACATTTACGAGTCCTAATTATGGAACTAAATATATTATTTGATTGTGTTGGCCTATTAACTGCAGATCTTGGAAATAAACTCAAAAAATACCGATACAAAAAGGGAAAACGATTGACCATCCTACGTGGATTTTTCTTCTGGCTCCAGGTGTTTTTTTTTTTCTGTTGCATTCGTTATTTTGTTTCGTTAAAAAAACGAAATCTTGTAGTGTAAATATGCTTTGACTAATATTTAATATTTTATTATCAGAATTTGACTCAAGAAGGAGCGTTTCAACCTTGGAAAGATCGTGAATGCCTTGCTGTGGAGCCTCGATCTCTCGCCTCATCAAGCTCTACAAATGATGAATCTGAATCGGAAACTAAATCTGAATCTGACGGTGAAGATTAGTCGAAAGGCAATATTCCCGCGTCGCCTTTTCGTAGAGGATAATAATAATAGTAACTTTTTTACAACACATGTATTAAATGTTGAAACATGGTTAGTTTGAGAGGAGAATATTTACCATTTTACTTGAAACATGGTTAGTTTGAGAGGAGAATATTTACCATTTTACCCTTGAGAATGAACATTAAAAAAAAAGGTGGCTAATATCACTTGTCACAACATTATTTATATATATAACATATTTGCATCATCACTATATTGCATCTGGAAGTTGGCCGTCGTAACTGAATCCAATACGCGGTTTTCCCATACTGAAGTTGAGCACTCGTGCATTCATATTGTACTGAATATCTCCTTCGTAAAGCATCTTCCTTATGTAGTGCTCGATATCCGAACCAATCAGACGAAGCGTGTATTCTGTCAACGGTGCTCCCTGTGGATTTCCACCATATTATTACATACACGCCGAAAAAAAAAAAAGAAAAAAAAAAAAAAATCTAGTATGTTACCTCGTAATGGTCAACAAGCTCCTGGAAATAGGAGTAGACTTTGTAACAAGTGTCTTCTGTCCAAACAAACTCGTCCGTCGGATCGAGGATGAGAGTGAGCTTATCCATTTGCGTTTGATCGAATTCGCAGGTTTCTGGATCTATGTAGGCTGCAAATATCCGAACGTGTCTTGTGGTGCTGCTTAGCCACTGCCCTCCGTATTCTCTGCTCATGTTCTTGCTCTCTACGTTTATTTGCTTCTCGGATGGACGAGGCTTCGTCATTGTGGGGCCCGCCTTCTGCTTCTGCTGCTTTGTGTTAACTTCTTCTGCTTTTAACTGTGTTTCTGTTTTGTTGATATCTTCTTGTACCTCTGCTTGTTCAGATGAAGCTGAGAAAAAAACACTTCTTTTCTTGAGTGCTTTTTTGCCACTTCTCCATTGTAGCATGGAGAAACTGGTGGGACCCATGTAGGTTGAAGTTGCAGCCATGGTTTTTTTTTTTTTTTTTTTAATGTTTTCTTCCTTTTTCTTTATTCAAATTTTTGCAGAGTTTTGTTTGGTTTTTCCTAAATGAAAGGCTAAAATGTTTTCTGTCCAAGTAAATTGAGGATAAGAGTTCTTGTCTGAATGTGCTAATAAGTACCATATGTCACTAAATTTCAACTTTCATTTTGATTCAAATTTCAGAATTTAATCATGATGTTCTGAATCATCATCTACCTCCTAGCAAGGTATCTTCAACGAAAATCATTAATCGAATTATCTTACGCGTGTAGCTTGAATCGAACTCAGAAACCGCTTCTTTATTACGAGGATGCATAATAATAAAAATAATACAAAGAAAGAAGATAAACAAACTAAAATTTTCATTTGATCAGCTTGTTTTTACAACTCCACATAACCTACACCACTAACCTAACTACACCACAAATTTGGACAGTACAAATAACTAAACAGTCAAAATTTACGGTGGTCAAATTGCAGTCACAACTCCTATTTACCTACACACCTTTGACCTGCCTACCTACAGTCAAACTTAAAATTATACATCACATAGAATAAGCTGTGTTCATACTCTATCTCTATTCATGACTAGGCTCGGTTGAACAAGCTCGTCGTCATCTGATATTTCCATATCCGAAAGAACTCCTTCCGATTCCAAAGTGGGGTCCACTTCGTCATCGCTCACAACTAAGCTAATGTAATCGGGAAAGTTTCCTTCATGACAACCTAAGTCATTCTTACCTTTTGCAGAGAGCTTCTCGGGGGTTGTACAGTCAGCAACTCCTATTAGACCACCATCAAAATATCGGCCTCTTACAATCTTCTTCTGCTCACTCTCGGGTTTTGCTTCTACCTTCTGTTTTGGATGGTGAAGCTTGCAAGTAGATGCTCGAGGACAAATTCCGGTTGATTCGAAATCAGAGCAGATATAGGTGTGCTTCTTCCGACACTGCAAGTTTTCGAGATAGGACCAAATTTCACCAAGATTTAAGATTAGTGGGGTAGTGTGCACTTGTGTTAAACTGTAAACAATTTATATACATAAAAATGTTTGCTGGTGTGCTTCAGTGTGCTATAATTAAACCCCATCTCTCCAGCCTGAGGATGTGCAGTCTGGAAGGGATTTTTATATCTTGTCCCTCCAAGAAAAATCATCCGAAACTGATTTCCAAACACAAACAGGGATATTTTCGGGAGAAAACAATGTGCGAGAGAGATAATGTGTACAAGACAAACAATACCTCATTGCCATCGGCACAGTAGCCTCTGAGAAAATTTCTACAAACAGGCCAATCAGGTTTCACATTTACATGTCTATAAGGACAATTTTCGTTAGAGCAAGACCCTGGCAACAGAATGAATAGGAGATGTGAGCTCTTCGAAGATTAATCTGCGAGATTCTTAAAACTAGTGCCTACCTTTCAGAAAGTACGAACAATCTTGCATCCTCTCAGGGATAACCTGTATGACAAATAGCGTCTTTGGATAAATAAAACAGTTTGTAACATATGATGAGTATTATACTACAAAAATCACTTAATACCTTGTGAGTCAACTTGCAGTCAAGATTGGAGCATGAACCACTCAGGAATTTAGTGCAGACTGCTATTTTTGAAGGGTCATGGATGTACAGGCACTTCCCATCGTCCTTGTTGCATTTTCCATACCTAGTAAAAAACTGGCAATATTTTTTCTTTCTAGCCAATCGTAACCTTGCAGTACGCAAACTCCACCGAACCTTCTCGCTAGCCAGGACACGAGTTCGTTTTTTCGGATCTCTAACCAGCTGATTACCATTTCCAATTCGAACATATCTACACATAGTTAAAGGGTAAATTATAAACCAAAATTTCCAAGTATATGCATAAAGTCTATGCCTGCGTGTCACCTTATAGTTGTTCTTCTTTTTCTCTTTTAATTTATTTGGTCAACTATTAAGTCAGAATTCAGTAAATTATCTAAGATTCATAGATTTAAGTACAGGCATCTAAGAGAACTTACTCTTCGTTGCAAATTAATAATCTCCTGGGAACATAAGATCTCTTAACTTTCTTCTCAGATTGGAGAACAGCAGAAGATGGTGATTCTTTCTCAGCTGCATACGTGAAGAAAAGAGGTCAGAAGATCAAATTTCTATAGAGAGTGGCAAGTTCAGAGACCTTCAGAAGTTATTTGGTATTGGATATGCATACTAAATAAATAAAAATACTCAAACAGATACTGCAAACAAACCAAAGACCAGGAGCATATCAGGCTTAAAAGACTGTTCTTTTGATTGCACGAAATTATGTCTATGCCTCTTAAAAACATTTCTCAGGGCAATGTCAAAATCAACATAAACAGGTCATATTTCATTAAAGTTTTTAGCCAAGGGGTCCTTTTACTATTAGTCATTCATCAACAAGACCACCAATGAATTGTTCATATAAAGATTCAGATAAGCACTGCCTCCAAATTAGGAAAACATCATCAAGCCCTTTGAATTGAACTCTATTAATAACACATCACATTAGCAATACCCGCTTTGTGGTCACATATAAATCTCCATATGAAATAAAAACTGTCAATATGCTTGGGAAAAAGAATGAAAAAAATAAGGTTTTCTCTACAAGTAAATAAGTGCTGCGTCTTATGTGTTTGTGATCTCAAAGATTGACCAACACTTGATGGCATGGAAAATGAATGAAAAGGAGGAATCATGCAGACCACCTGTAATTCTGTGAAGAGTCCTCCTTGTTGCATCCATTTTGTATCGCTCTGAACCAATACGAAATATCCGTTCTCCTGTTTATGTGATTCCAAATAGAAAATACCAAGTTTTATATACTCCGAGAAACCATAAATATGAGCCAAATCCAAATTTAAAAGCATAATAATATGTATGAGTTCATGCTTTGTAAAATCATAATTAACCAAAAAATGTCCTTGTTTCTCTTAACATAAAATAAGCATGCATATCTGATATGCCACACCAGGATTGCAGGGCGGCGTACCTGAAAGCAGCTTTACACTAAGAACCAACTTACGAGAAACATGATTTCTGCTCCTTGTAGCAATGGGAACAGCACCCGTCTCTTCCTTTTTCTTCTTCTCGGCTGCCGCAACAGCTCGTGTAGCTTCCTACAGGTAAGAAATATGTAAAATCATCACTCACGTGATTTAAGCTCTATATCCAAGAGTATTTGTACTCAACAAACCTCATTGGCCATCTTTGAGTTCCTCTCTATTGATTTTGACCACTTTAAACTAGAGGCACCAACACTCAAAACTTTGGACATCCTAAGAGAATACCCATGAGTTGATCTTGTGTAAATGGCACCTCTCTTTCTTGAGAGAAGCAATTTTTGGCTATACATCCAGAAAGAAAAAAATGCATATTCATCATTAGTTTTTAATAAGCCCAGAAATACAGATAAATCTTAAGGGTGTGGTGCTGCAACAATGAGAAACATATAAGTTATCCGCATACCTGGTGGTGGAAAGGGAACTGCTGTTTGGTTTTGCACCTAAAGCATGCATAAAATTTCTCAAATATGTAGCTCTTTTCCATGGAAACAAATGCGGCCAGACTTTCCGAGGTACCACAGAATTTTTATGTTTCTCTGAGGACTGTTTATCATGTAGTTTCCACACAGATGAAAACTTTGAATGTCTGCAACTCTTGGCAAAACCAGAGACCGGTCTCTTAGAAGTTCTAGGAAGATTTGTGTGAGGTGCAAGCCTAAGCAGGTTTACATTTGCATCCTCTTTTTTTACATGATTTTCTGATGATGCTCTTACAAGCTGATTTTTCTTGCTCTTGTAGTAGCCATCGGATAATGATGCTTGAGTTTTATCTGCCCCTGGTATAGACGTATCAATAGAACTAGAAGCTGCAATCAATTGATTAGATCTCCTCTTGACATATAATATCTTCTTCTCCAAATTCCCTGCAAGTTTACTCTGGCCATCTGGGTTACTGACTGGATCAGTTCGACATTCAGGAACTGCAGAAGACTTTATAGTTTCATCCAAACCACTGTTTCTGGGAGTATCTCCGACTGATAATGAATCCCCCGAGTTGCAAGTATGATTTAGAGGTGGTTCTTTAGGAAATGCAGAAGTATGCACCTCCTTTATCCTCAGTAGGGTTGAAGCATTAACATCATCAATTTCGCTATCAGATGCTTGGCTATTCTTCAAATTATCTGTACAAGTAGTTAGCCTGTAAACTGAGCAACCAGAACCATGATAACCAGTTGGAGTTGCACCAGTCGAGGAAGGATTCCTCACTAGGCTATTACCCTTCCTTATATATGAACTCTGCATATTTCTGGCTAACTTTGTTTCATGACTTGGAGGAAGGAGAGAAGGTTGTGATTTTGGTTCTGTAACTGTGACAGAGTTACCAGGTCGACACCACGTCCTTGATTTTGTCACATGAGTATATTGGAATTTCCTTGAATTGCTCAAATTTGAAGGCTGATGACCAGGAGAAGCTTTAGAAACAGTCGGCTGGTTCTTACTCATAGTTAGTTTCCCATGTACAAAATTCGATTTCTTCACCATTTTACTACTACCCTCGAGTAGAGATGGTGAAAGCTTACCATTAGTTTGTGAATTGTCTGCAGCTGCTTTTTTCATGAATTCCTCATTTTTTGTTTGGCAGGCTACGTTTCTTGAAAAACTCAAGTCTGAATAAGACAGCAGCTCTTCTGGAGAACTCATGCAGGATCCCATATCGAAGCCAGATGCTAACAGATCTTCGTGAGAATTAGAAGCAGCTACACCAGTTCTATCACCACATGAAGATAGACTATTTGCAATAACAGCCTGATCACCAGCGGTATACAGTTTGTTGACATCAGACAGATTCTTATCGAGATCTGCAACATAAAAGTTCTCACAGACAACTTTATCTTCCATATCACTGATAGCACATTCGGTGGTAGATGTTGATCCTGATGGAGAATCTTCTCTTCGTTCAGCTCCCCATTCTGCGAGTTTGATTGACCTTAGAACAAGTCCTGAACAATCACTGGTAACCCCACCTGCAACCGGATCGTCTTTTAAAGGGGATATGAGATTTGATCTTGGGCAGGATCCTTTCTTCTTCTTCCTATAGTTGAAGCATAAGCCATTAGCCCCAGAATCTACCTCCAGAGTTGTATCTTCAACTTCAGAGAGCTCTTTGTTAAAGAAATCATCCTCATTACAGGTGTCATTCTCAACAAGAAGGTCGACCTCCACATCAGGAATATGATTGTTAGATAAAAGACTTGCAACTTCACCACCAATGGATCTACCGGTACCAACTAGCACATTAGTACTTAAACTATAAACACCCTCTGGAGCACTTCTAGCTTTCCTCTTCCTGATAATCTTGGATGAATAATCCATATGAGAGCAAGTTTCTACATTACTTATTGCCGTTGGAGATCCTTCAACAGAGTCAACATCAGTAGAAGACTTCTCCCCCAAAGCATCTGGAAAAGAAACCTCAACTTGAGCTGAGATCCTTTTACAATCTGCTGAAGGAACATCAGACCTGGTGGTAATTCCTATATTAACATTTGAACAATCTCTAACAACACCATCCGAACTTCTTACTTCCACTGCATGTACCGGAATTTGGGGTGTATTAACCTGGTTTGGGTGCAACTCCTCTGAATTAGCATATGCAGATCCCACATCGGAACTGATAACACACTTGGGCCTTTGTAGCAATCTACTGTCTGACTCTAAAGATGAATCCGATTCATGGAATTCCGATAAATATTCATCAGTGCCTAATCTGGTATATTGATCGATAGACCAAATGGCTCTCTTCTCAGTACGCAATACAGAAGCCCCATTCTCTACAAATTTGTTGACATTTTTCTCGTGCTGATTGAAGTACAAACTATCTCCATGACCGGTACTCTCATTAACTAAAAGAGTTTCATGTGCATGACCTCCAACCCCATCATTTTCCAATTGGCACACATTATCACCTTCACCAGTAGTAGTGACTGAGTTCTCCACCTGACCAGAACACCCGTTAATTACATTATTAGCCGCATGTGAAGAAGCTGTTAATGTGGTCAAACTATGCCTTTTCCTCTTCAAATTAGGAGGAAATGATTTGTCAGAATCACTTTCAATTTCACCTTCCTCGTAAACTTTACCCACTAATGAAGGAAATAAAATAGTATCAGGTACTACACCAACAATCGCAGAACAGAGATTCCCCTTTGACAATGTAGTATCCGAGTTGAGTTCTGGAGCAGCAGCCGGACTATTAAAAGTATTGTTAGCGTTAACCATATTGCCACTCTCTTTTTCCTTCTGCATGCTTAATTTATGCAATAGCTTCTTTCGAGCTGCCTTCTTTTTTCTTAACCTCTTTGCCTTTTTTTTGCTGGATCCGACAACAGTGGAGCTCTGTAAATTCATGCATCTCGGAGGTTCATTCTTAATAGCATTTTCACCAAACGAAATAGCACCATCAACACCCACAAACCCACTCCCAGAAACTGAAGCTTCATCCAGAACCTCTATTGAAGTTCTATGTGACTCGGATCGGAGATCCAAACCATGTGTCAAGCAGTGTGTTTTAACAACACCGTTGCTGGATTTGGCTGATGGTGAATCGGACATATTATACACAGTTTTATTATTCACATTCGATGAATCAATAACCGACCTGACAGCTGGACCAGAAGGCGCTAATATAGCCTTGGCTACCAATGCATTTGATTTAAAAGAAATGGCAAGCTCCATAGGACTCTGTTCTCTCTCTTTCTTATCTGCTATTCTTGTTTGCAGCTGCTGAAACCCTTCTTTCTCCTTGCACCCGGAAATACCGCTACTCAAATTTTTCTTAAAGTGCTGGTTCTTTGGCGGTCCACTGTGTTTGCTGCAATCTTTTCCTACTGGAATCCTATGTATAGCATTCTTTTTCTGCAATTTCCTCTTCTTGTTAGATCTAACAAATTCTTCATTATGAACCCTCCTCCCTAACCTACCAGCAAATCTACCCAATCTCATATTATCCTGCATAAATTCTGGTTCTTTGTTTCCTAATCGCAACAAAACCCCACGTATTACTACCGTAAACCAATCTCCTCTTACTATAATCT